ATAATATATCTTGTACTTGAGATTTTTGGTTAGGATCTCCCAGGTGTTGAGTTAAATTTTGTATGCTGTCACGAATCTCTTGCGGATAACATTTCTCACGTAGATGTTGCTGCAACTCATTTCCGGATAGAAATTGTTCATGGCATTTGTTGCATTTAGCTTCTAATTGACGGTGGAAATCTCTCGCATAAAAGCGAGCGGTTCTGCTCTTCAATGATAGGCTAATTGGATCCTTAACTTGCGCATAATTTAATGATGTATGCATAGTAAGACAAACTGTCGGTTTTGGATCTCTGGAAATGATGCCGACTTTGGTGTTCTTAGCTAATGTTCGTTGACGATTTTGTGCATTGATTAATAAGATTTTTGTGGTATTTTCAGAGACATTAACCATTGTGTTTGGAAGGAAGAGTAATTTTCCTTGAAAATGTTGTAATGGTTGAAAGATTAAATCATGGGCTTGTTCTAATTGTAGTTTGACGTCTATTAGCCGTTGTGAAGATGCTGGGATCGTAATTTGTTTTGCTAAATAGACGGGATAGTGAATGTCGGGCTGGTCGATGTAAGGGACGGATGTTCGGATTCCTTTACGATTAGGGACGGTTAATCGTTGTTCGTCACCGAGAAGATGGATTTTGTGTTGGTTAATCCAATCGTTACCGAGTAATATGCCGGTTATTAAATTTGTTGTGACTTGTGCCACAATATATGTTGTGATGGAAGCGATTTTGATTTCCAGCTCAATCTCGCCAATACTGTTGATGATGGATGAATTTGCGGCTTGGCATTTAATTGGCTTGCTGATGAATTTCTTGTGGTGGATGGTTTTTAATAAATCTTGATTAATTAAACTGATGGCCGATCCCGTATCAACAATAGCCATTGTTAACCAACTAATAATGGTTTTCAACTTTTTGAATCCCGCCATTGGAAACACTGTACACGAAAACCTGTAAAAATAGTATTTAGAGGCTTTCGTATCACTTCTATGGCTCATGTTCATGTGCCCAGCCAGAATTGCCCACTGTGGGGTATGGTGAATTATGAACAACTTGAAAATATTTCGATCTGAAGCCTTACCTTTAGGACTTATCACGCTCACATAGGAGGAGAAACGATTTGAGGAGAAAAATTAGCTTATTAGCAAAATACCAAACGGATACACTAGTTTTGACCTATAGTAGAACAGTGCATGAAGTACTCGTTAGACCTCGAAGAACCGGAATGACATTCATGCAAGAAAATGTAGGAAATAACGAGCTTCAAACTGAAATATATTAGATTCTTGTGAACGTATGCCTTCATACATTTCTACACTAAATACTATACACGTACGATGATTGTTGCCTAAAGTGCATGACAAAAGTCTGAGCGTCTACTTTTTTGAGCTTTTTTGTCAACTACGCCAGCTAAAGGAATACTGCAGAATGCTTTGAGTAACTGAAACACTTTTCCATCCGATGAGGTGTAGACAAAAATTTTAAAGTTAAACAGAAGAGACGTTTCTAAGGAAAATAAGACGTCTCCGAGCTCTCCGTAACATATTTTCATCAGGCTGCATTATATTTACGAACAGACCCGAAGACATTCTGCTGTTGTTTTTTTGAATTTTGCTAGTTTGCCCATCCGTTCGGTATTTTGGCAATAAGTCTATTTAAGGTTTGAAACAACGTACTATAGCTTATTTTGTAGCTCTCTCAATTCTGCGTTTTTCTAAATATAAAC